AGCCTTCAGTGCTCCAACACACTTCTTCAACAGCACTGCCGGAATTCCGTCGGGTCCTGGTGCTGAAAACGTCGCCAATTCTTTGATACTTATTTCCATGTCTTCCGGTCCAAACTCAATGTTCTCCAGCTCTCTACCGCCTGGCAGCTCCTGGAGAACTTCAATTTCATTCTCCTCCTTGTGTATACATCACTTGTGCATACATCACTTGTGCATACATCACTTGTGCATTCATCACTTGTGCATACATCACTTGTGCATACATCACTTGTGCATACATCACCTGTACGTACATCACCTGTACATACATCACCTGTACATACATCACCTGTACGTACATCACTTGTACATCCATCACCTGTACATACATCACTTGTACATCACTTTGAACACAAGAGAGATGGTCCTGATCAGGCCAGATGACCGTCGTGGCTTGACCTCCTATACAGCCGCATGAGTCGCGGCTTCGTCGCGTGTCAGTAAACGAGTCGTGATGCATGTTATTGAAATTATTAAAATGATCTATTATGCTATTGTAAATAGATAATGTAATTACGTGACCGTAAACAGTCGGCTTATTATACGTTTTTAAATAAATTCAAGCGTTTTAAACACTAATACCAGCCTTAATGTGCCCAACCCACAACCATGCTTAATTATATTCTTAGACAATATACCCTATAAATGAATGATTAATTCAGGTAGTTTTTAATAGGCATTTACTTTGTGCACGTCCTCAAAACTTATCGCTTTCATTGGAAGCTCCACTGCATTTGGCCGCCAGCGGTCTATTAGAAAGCGTTGGTAATGCAATATGTTAATTGGCAATTCTCATACAAAGACTTAGACGGAGGAAATATAACAGGTTAAGCTTTTCGATAGTGAGTCAACCGCAGCACAACTTCATTCATACAGAGTTTATGGCGTCGCGCGACTGCCTTGTTGTACCGCTAAATTCTAAATTTTAATTTAAATCAAGTATTAATAGATATTTTTAATGTATAATCACCCAAAGCAATCAATAAATTAAAAAAATAATCCACGAATCCCTTTGAGGAAAGTTACGTTCGTTTTCTATACCTGATCATGAGAATTGATGGAAGATCCAGAAGACGCGTCAACACGAACTATATTACTAACCAATCATGTACATTAATTGAAATGAACATTTGACACAGATCTGCCTTGGACCATCATACGTAAATTAACGAGTGTTAATCAGGGGTTAAATATTTTAGCCTTCAACAAAAAAAAAATACTCAGCTCTATCTTAGCCATGTTGCGTGGTCGCCCTGCAAACCAAACATAATTACGTACGCGGTCACAGCCTGGTCTTAGGGCCCGCCTGATTAATGGATATGAGCTTCGGGCCAATGCGCTGGCAAGCGCCGTAAATTCGCTTCGAGCTTTATAGCTTCCAATTAGCATTTCTTGTTTATGATTGGAAATGCAAATTTATAGCTGTTTATGCAGCTACGTGTGTTTGTGCATGCGACACAGAAGCGGCGAGTGGACTATAATTCTCACATTTTAATGTTATAACCATTGACCAACGTGCTGGCTTGATGGTGATTATCGCATCGACCAATAAATTCGGCCAAACTTAAAAAGGAAGCAGAGAAATAAGGATTAATGGAGCTACATGCTAGATACTTATTACGTTTAATATAATGAAGTTCACTGGCACCATCGACGTAACGTTAGAAGTACTAAAATTGTTTTCCTTACCTCGTAGTTGAAGTTAAATTTGTATAGGAGATAATTAAAAGTTTTAACGAAAAAATATTACACTTTTCACATCAGGCATCGCATTCATCCCCCCTCAGGTTCGAGACGAAGATCAAGATCCCAGCTGGAGCCCCGACAGCTTCCTCGGCTACCCGGACTACGTCTACAACAAACGAGTGAGTCCGCAACACTTTACGACATGTGGTGAACCAGTGCCGTGATTTCTTTACGACATGTGGTGAACCAGTGCCGTGATGTCTTTAAGACATGTGGTGAACCAGTGCCGTGATGTCTTTACGACATGTGGTGAACCAGTGCTATGCTGTCTTTACGACATGTGGTGAACCAGTGTCATGCTGTCTTTACGACATGTGGTGAGCCAGTGCCATGCCGTCTTTACGACATGTGGTGAGCCAGTGCCATGCCGTCTTTACGACATGTGGTGAGCCAGTGCCATACTGTCTTTTAAATTGCGACATGTGGTATACGAGACACTAGTTGCACGGTTGTCTTTACGACATGTGTTATGCTACAAAAATTACAGATTACTGACTTTTTGGCTAAACATCAACGCCATCGAAATATCAGTGGCATCCTACCCTGGCTACCTACATACCTGCATGACTTTCGCGCCTGCTGTATGCTTCACACCAACACGATTGTGTTGCGTTCACGTCATGTGCAACACCATGCATCAATAAATCTTGATGGTATGGTATGAGCCACGCGCCACGGTCACGATATTGTTATGAATGCTCTATAGACCTGGGAACGAACCGATGGTTTGATGTCACACCGACACTGTAGCAACCATCCTTACTTCTTAATTTAGTCCACTAAAGATATAGGCTAATTTTTAGGCTAATAAATATTTCGATAACGTGCTAATATAGGCTAATTTTATATAGCACGTTCGATGAGCCGTCGTCACAACTAGTCCCCGACATGCTTGCAAGCATTACCCCTCAGAACAGCTTTGAAGCACACTAGTTACATTCACGAAGTGTTTTATTGCATTGAACAAAATCTCTTTATACGTTACTGCATGGGTCACAAATTGACAACGTTCGAGCAGCAGCAGCAGCAAATGAAGGTCTTGCTGAAATAAATCACGGGCTTCAAATTAGCCAAATTGCTTACGTATTTTCTTTAATTTTAAAAGATTCTGTGTTTCGCGCCCGATAAACGTCCGCCCGGGGATTTGCAAAGGGGCGGTACAATTACTGGACATCTTTGCCATCACGTCTGACGACGCATTCAAGCAGAGACCCGTGTGCTTCTCAACGTCGCCTTTCAATAATCCTCATGCCTCTTGCTCTCATGCCTCTTGCTCTCATGCCTCTTGCTCTCATGCCTCTTGCTCTCATGCCTCTTGCTCTCATGCCTCTTGCTCTCATGCCTCTTGCTCTCATGCCTCTTGTTCTCATGCCTATTACCCTCACGTCTCCTACCCTCATGCCTCTTCAATAGATCACAACTCTTACTACTAATCAATACCCTCGAATGACCGCACGCTTCTAAAGTAACATTTTAATCCACTGATGAAAAAAAAATCTGCATTTATTTCGCATTAAATGAGTTTTGTCGGTGTTTTAGAAAATAAGCTTCCGAGGAGAGAACATGAACAAATAGGTACGCCTGATCTGTAAAATTAAAAAAAATTTGAAAAATTCCATCGCTTTGATACGAATATTTGATGGTCACTTGATGACGCTCTCTGAATTTATTGATCTTTGCTTTTAGAGCTGCTCTGCCAACGCCGTGTGGGCCTCTAATGGTCCTGCGGCGTATCGGTATCGCAACCGCGACTCACCTACGACTTCTCTTGACAGACGTCGAACTATTGAACAATTTTAATCACACGCTAGCGATATTACGCGTGTATCTTTATCCCCAACACTGTTTTAGTTATATGACGTACACCAGCAACTCCCCATCACTGTGATTGGTCAGCAGTTGAACTACAAACGCCATGCGATTTCAATCTTTATTCTAGAAACATTAAGAAGGTGCTTTGTTTCTTGTAAATAATTATAACTTTTCAATAAATTTTTTCGAGAGTTTAATTACGACATAACAATTAATTACAATTTCATGATGTTGAGCTCACAAATGCACACTAAATTCACATATTATTTACTATTATTTCCCGACGGTCAGGTAGAGAATTTTTCCGAAGTTTGCGCGCTTAAGTAATCTGTGAGAACCATTTGCAGTGTTATTATTTTATTATCAATTATTATGTGACGGGATAGGCTGATGATGACGAGTCTGTTCGTGGTTATGGCGCAACAAACATCATCTCATGTACCGACGCAACAAACATCATCTCATGTACCGGTGCAACAAACATCATATTATGTACCGGTGCAACAAACATCATCTCATGTACCGACGCAACAAACATCATCTCATGTACCGGTGCAACAAACATCATCTCATGTACCGGCGCAACAAACTTCATCTCATGTACCGGTGCAACAAACATCATCTCATGTACCGGCGCAACAAACTTCATCTCATGTACCGGCGCAACAAACATCATCTCATGTACCGGCGCAACAAACATCANGACAATAACTAAATATCTGATATTGTTTGTCCTCAAGGCAGTTAGATAAACTTGTGTGAAGACAATAACTAAATATCTGATATTGTTTGTCCTCAAGGCAGTTAGATAAACTTGTGTGAAGATAATAACTAAATATCTGCTGTTGTTTGTCCCCGAGACAGTTAGATAAACTAGTGTGAAGACAATAACTAAATATCTGCTGTTGTTTGTCCCAAAGACAATTAAATAAACTTGAGAGAAGACAATAACTGAATATCTGATGTTGTTTACTAGTTTACACATTAGATCAATTCCTTCAATAAAATTCAAATTTACGTCAAATTTTGGACAGAACATAAAATTTTTCCCATACATGTTCCTTACTTTTTTCCCAATGCCGTTTGCCCACCAAAAATTGATGCTCTGAATTGAAATGATGGTAAAATTATTTTCAACGCGTATAGTACACTGACGTCTTAGCGTAATCTGCAATCATAATTTTCACCAATAATATAATGTGTACCTAATATCCTCACCAACTTATTACACTCAATGTGTACTGATTATCCTTCAAGTCCCGTAAGGTCCGTCGCCAAGCCAGACTCCATCAGCAGGGCGGAAGCGGAGTATGAACTACTGAGCTCATGACGTTGCGAGTGCCTCGCCAGCCTCCCGACATTGTCGAGGTTAATCATATTTACCTACTTTTATCAATCATGTTTACCTATTTATATCTTATTTTTACCTATATTTATCTTGCGTACAGACAAGCGTGGACGGCAGTGCGGGGAGGTGCATGAAGGAGAACGCTCCGTGCAGCTACGTGGCGCGCTACAGCGGCGAGCTCGTGAGGCTGCGCTGTTGCGGGGCCCTGCAGTGCGTGGATGATGGCCTCATGCACACCTGCACCAACGTTGTCACTCACCCCGTTGTTACGTTGTACCCCGAGAAATCCCACACCTACTACCGGAGTACGTGTGGACGTGGTTGCATGTCACTCACCCCGTTGTTGTGGGGCCCTTTAGGGTGTGGACGATGGCCTCATGTACACATGCACCAACGTACAGTGAGTTGAGCAACATGGAGCCCTTGGGGCCCTACAGTGTTTGGACAATGGCCTCATGCACATGCACATGCACCAACACGCAGTGAGTTAGTCAACGTATGGGGCCCTGCAGTGCGTAAACAATGGCCTCATGTATACCTGCACCAACATACAGTGAGTTAGGCTACATGAAGATGTTATGCAGCACATTAGACTAGGTGATGTCTTGCCAGTCTGAACAACTTTACCGGCCTGTGCTCCTGCACGGACTAGTGATGAGGTGGCTGTTTGATAATAAAACGAAGACATTGACACACGTTCTGTTCTTGCTGATTTTATATTTTTTACGTCAACAAATTTTACATTTACTGAAGAAATGCTTGTCGTTATGAATGACATATCATTGAATGATGAAAGGTTGGTCTTAGGTCCCTGCTGGACGCTGACTACGAAGAATGAGGCGATGGAGAGGCTGATGACCGTGACGGCAGCGCCGCCATGGATGGCTGCCACGACTCGTGTAGCTTAGATGATACAGTGTATGCATTCCTGAGAGCTTTAATAAATAACAAAATTTACGGTATATTTTGATTGCCTTGCGATGTTTTTTCTCCCACAACTAAGCGCTGATTTGTCGAAGAATAACCCTGAATTCTTATGGTTGAATCGTCCGCATATTCGATATAAATTCAATTTTGTTGTAGTTTTCTTCAAGGTCAGACAAATTGTATCGGCCTACAGTAGTCACGGGCCAAGAAGCATAAAATTTAATTTCAACTGATATGGTGCTCGTTTAAATAAAGAAGCTTTTACTGAACAGTGATCATGAGACCGTGAGATCAGGCATTAATTTGTTCTCTTCATTATACTACGGATACGCCGTATTGTTTTCTGGACTTGGAAGGCGGTGCAAAGAAATGTGTTAATAAAGTATAAATGAACACCAAATCCTAATTTCTTTATGAAATTTTAAGTGAAAATGAATAGTACAACAATTAATTTATATTGCAAAGTATCAAAGTAAGTCTATAATGATTCAATTAGATGAAGTCCAGACATCGAAATAACAGGAAGAGAAGCAGAACTCGATCGCTTCGTTAAGTGCATACCCTGCCAGGATGCTCGGGGAACAATAGGAAACAAATTCATTGTGAACACAACTGGAGTGCGGATTGCGGATAATTTTAATTTCCTTGAAAAATCAGTTAATTAGTTCTATTTTAACACAAACTTGGGCCTCAAAACAAACACAAGAGGGCGCAGCTCATTCTCAAATGATTTTAAATGATATGAATTTAAGTTTAACAGCGTGGCACGAGTTTAGTATGTTCAAGAAATTACCGTACGCAATAAGTTCACCAAAAATTTAAATGTAAGGAAAACGTAAAGTAAATTTAACACGTCTTCATTGAAAACGTTTCGGCGACCGCGGCTCTTTTAACAGTTCAGGGATTATGTCTTTGTTCTTAAATTCATTGCGATCTTGCGACTTAAAGCACACTATTAATATAAGAAATTCTACGCAACAAATTCATTGTCAGTCTTTTTAAACTTGTTGTGGTTACACAGACGCACAAAACACCTATGGCATCACAAACAGAACGCAACGAAGAACTATCGACGTATTCAGTAACCAGTTGATTTTGCAAGAACCATCTATACCAAAGCGACAGTAAAGTGCCAGTGAATTGAATTCTCTTGAAATCAGTTACACCACACACTTGCTTGGCCGTCTTGTGTTTGCCTCGTATAACTTGGGGGTTCCAGGAACAGATCTCGATCAATCGTCCTAATGGCTCAGATGCAGGAAGCGCAAGTAGTTATCCGAGGATCAACATTACTAGCGCTCCAAAGTGAAATCCAACAAACACGGGACTGGATGATAGCAAACACGGGAGTAGATGCTAACAAACACGGGACTAGAAGCTACATTGCTTGTAATGAAGCGTGTTCGTCGAGTTTATCTGAATCAATTCGTTGACGAATTCAGTCTGATAAATTTGTTGATAAATATCTTTACAGAAGAGAGAAAAAGTCGTATTATGATAGCCAACCGTCAAAATTTAGGGGTTTGGAAATTATTCTGGTAACAATACGGTAAAGATGTTATGATTGTAAAGGAACACTGTACAAAACTTTGTTTTATTACAAGTTACATTACTTTTATTGCTAATTTAGCCTTTGAGTTACCTCATACCTGACCTCGTTTAGATATGATTTGGACAGTTTTGTAGTATATCATAACTGCAGACTTTTTTTGCGCGTGCATAACTGAACTCTGTAGCAGTGGCTGACATTGCATTAGGAAGAAGTGACTTGATCGAAAAATTGCAAAGCAAAACCGCGGTGTCTGACGCACCGCTTGGTTATACCTACCACCCCGCATACCACATAATCAAATTCAACACGGTCTTGCCTCACTCACCCTCCTCCGAAATGCCCCGACTCCACCAAATCACCATGATTTGGTGGATTTGGAATCCACCAAATCACCTCCACTGTGACTGGAAGTATGCCTCATCACACAGTCACTCGATCGTTCAAGTCCTCTAAACTCCAAATTAAAAATACAAAGCGCATTTACTTAAAATCTGCATTATTTTCTCTAAAATTTTTAGCTAATATAATGAGGGTTGTGGCTATTTTGCGTGTTAAGCTTTCTGACAATATATCACGTTCATACAGACTGCCCACTTCATTAGAAAAGCGACAACTTTATATACACACAATGCATACTTTTTTCGCCATCATTCAACCCTGAACTGATAGTACAGTTATTATGGAATATCCATCTACTGGAATTAATTGGAAAACACTGTAGAATGGGAGCGCTAAATACTTTTATCAGTGCTGCTCCATATCTTAACCTAATAACCAAGAAGTTCGTATCGTGACGCATCACAGGAATAGATGGATGCATTTGTTCATTTTACTCTCGAGATAATCATGCGCTAGTGAAGTCAGCAATGTTCTTAAAGTTATCGTGAGAATTAATAAATGCGTTCTTTTCTGGTTTGAATAGTGCGTTCTGCGTCCTGCTGCGCCTCCTTACTTAATTTTTCATCACTTTTCCTTAATTTCTGTTTATTTTTGCGTTTTGAGAAAAGCACCGAAGTTGAAACAAGACAAAGATTTTATAGGTGATTTGGTTAGGAAAATACGCTTGTTAAATCTCTGATTCATTGTATTTGTTGTAGTATAATTATTTTTATTACTCAGACTTAATCTGCTATACTTTTATTAATTAGACCAGTGGTTCCCAAAGTGGGCGATATCGCCCCCCTAGGGGCGGTGGAAAGATTTTGGGGGGCGATAAGGAAGAAGAGGGCGGTAGGGGGGCGATAGGGGGGCGGTAGTCCGAAGTCAATGTCAAAAGTTCGAACGTTAGTTTGACGATTTGTACACAACACGTGCAGCACATGACTCCAAGCGATGGTTTTTTCACCCAGATTTGTTTTTTAAACCTATCCTGGGTTTACGTCTCGGACAAATTAACGGCCGGACTCGCGGCCGGTCTCACGACCAATTTCAAAATTCAATGATCAAGGAATGTCTCTCAAACTAATGAACTTAACTCGATGAAACTTGGTACACGTATTCATTAGGACCTAACGATGTTTTCCTCGTAAAAATTGTTTGAATTTTGCCATCGTTTGTTTTTGCCATTGTTATATGGCAATACGGGCCGAAATTCACAGTGATCAAGTAATTTCTTCCAAACTACTGAACAGAATTGAACGAAATTTTGAATTTGCAGTCCTAACTACCGAACGGTGATGATTAGCTCGTGAAAATGTTTTCGATTGTGCCTTCGTTCGCGAGTTTTTTTTTTAAGTTCACCTTCATTCGTGATTTAAACAGCAATTCGTGCTTAAATTCGCAGTAATCAAGAAACTTTTTCCAAACTACTGAACAGATTTGAATGAAACTTAGTATTTAAATACCTAACCTCAGCAACGGTGATGTTTAAAATTTTTTCTTTTTGCCTTCGTTTGCGAGTTATATGGCTATACGTATACGGCTCTTGGTTAAACCGGCCGGTAGAAAAGCCGGTCGTTCCTACTTTATCTGCATAACTCGCAAACGAAAGCAAAATAAAAAAATTGTCACGAGCGAAACATCACCGTTGAGTGGTTACGTATTTATATAGTACAAAGTTTCGTTGAAATCTATTCTGTAGTTTAGAAGAAATTTCTTGATCGCCGCGAATTTAAGTGACAAATTACCCAGCGATACGGGCCGAATATAAGGAAGTGTAAAATCAAGAATGACGGTGAAAGGAAAAAAAAACTCGCAAACGAACGTAAAATCGAAAAAAAATTATAAGCTAAAAAATCACCGCTTGGTAGTTAGCAATGGAATGGAGTGTTGGGAATGTAATTTTCGTTCAAATCAGTTCAATAGTTTGGAAGAAATTCTTTGATCAATGCGAATTTCGGCCTTTTTCGCAATATACGCGCAACTCACGAATGAAGGTGAAATTTAAAAAAAATTACGAGCTAAACATCACCGCTAAGTTCTGATGAATACGTGTTCCAAGTTTCATAGAGCTGCGTTCATTAGTTTGGGAGATATTACTTGCTAATTGAATTTGGAGATTGGTCGTGAGACCGGCGACGATCGAGTCCGGCCGTAAATTCGCCCGCGACGTCCTTAATTGGCTTCTAGTGCTGAAACAGTTCAAACAGCTGAAAAAACATTTTGGTTCACTAAATGGGGTTCTATTTGTGAAATACACATTTGTGTTTAATCTTTATCTTTTAAAATTGCAGCGTACTGATTTTCAAGAAAGTGGCGTATATGTCTGTGGGGGGCGCTAGAAATTCACTAGGGAGCCAAAGGGGGCGCCAGCCTGAAAAAGTTTGGGAACCACTGGTTTAAGCCTCCAAAGTAGAGTACTCAATTCGGAATAACTTCTGGGCTTTGCCTTGTGCTGCGGCGTGCCACGTTGGCTTTAGAGCTTTTACTTATTGCGGGATCAAATATTTTGAACCCTATGGAAAAGCTTAATTTCTTTACAAAGCTTAAACATATTAATTTATATTGGAGTCCACGTTTCCTTTTACGCTAATGCTGGTGCGCTCACGCTTTTTATTTGCATTTCGAGTCTTCTGAATAATTTAAATAATTCAAAACTATCGGCTGGGTTATTTTGATGAAAGTTGTATTTTTGTTGTTGTTGCAAGTCATACGGAAAAATACCAAGGATTATTTTCCAGTATTTAGGCATGTTAATGGCCCCATATAATTTTAGCTCGATGACAAAAGAGTTTAAGGGGGGTGCGAGGCTAAACTATATGGAAACAGTGTGTTTAATCTCCATTTTCATCTAACTTATTAAGTCGATGCCTATTTATTTCAAAGAAATTGTCTTTTTAGCGCATTTTCTCATTTATGAAAAAAAGGCGCCATTGTGCTCGTCATGTCCGTCGGTCCGTTCGTCTGTCCGTGACTCCATGTTTTCGTCGACAAGAAAATGCGCTCTCTGTCACTCACTGCTGTGAATCCTGAGTTACATTTTTTATAATAGCAGCGTGAGGCCCGTCGGGCACTTTCTGGCAGTCGGAACCGACCACTA